AAAAAAAAAAAAAAAAAAAAAAAAAAAAAAAGAAAACTAAATTATTGCAATATGTCGAAACAGTAGAAAAATATCGATCTTTCAACAATTTTTTTTGCACAGACGAATAAATAACTTTAGTCGTATCTCTACTGCACACAAAGAAATTGCTGCCAATCAGTTTTCAACAATAAATTATTGTAGTATAAATATAATTACTGTAATGACAGTAACTGAGACTACAGTAACAAATATATACCGACAAACAATATGCTAGACAATTTGCGCACAAACACAAAGACTATGGGTGGGGCAATGCAAAAACGAGCATCGTTCTTATGCACAGTGCATTTTCGATCAGCTACTGTTGATGCAATAATAAAAAGAGAGAGGGAGAAAAAAACAACAAAATTTCTTTCATTTTTATTTATCTTTTAATTAAAGTTTGAATTCTGCTCCCTTTTTTTTTAGCTCCCTTCAGTGTATTTAAGTTGGCAAGGAAAAAAATTGAAATTCCAAAAAAAAAGCGTACAAAGAAAAAAAAGACATACTAGGAAATGATATCTCATTATATTTTGAAACCGGTAATTTTATTTGAACCAACAGTTAAACAAACAAATTCCTACACAGAGATTTTCTTGTTTCATTTTTTCTTTCAATCTTTGTGCTGATATGTTAAAAACACTTATTTTTTTGAGGTGAGACCAAGAATAACAAGAAAAACGAGAGTAATAGACAAAAATAAAGCAATAATGACAGCAATAATAACGATAACAATAGTGATAATAGTGGTAACAATAACAGTAACAATAACAATAACAATAACAATAACAATAACAATTACAATAACAATTACAAAAACAACAACAACAACAATAACAATAACAATAACAGCAACAGTAACAATAACAGTAACAGTAATACAAGTAATAACAATATTATAATAATAACAATGACAACAACAATAACAGTAACACAAGTAATAACAATATTATGATAATAGTAATAGCAATAATAATAATAATAACTGAAGATACATGTGTATGCAGATGACTCGAGCAGAAAGCTGGTAGAAGTGAATGCGATAGAAATATAAATAAATGTAAGAAAAAAAAAAACGAAGCATTCATGTATTTAGCAGATGGACGTATGTGGATGAGTAAAGAGGGCTGAAAAAAGCCCTAGGCTTTGGGGACAGACCGCAACGCAAATTTTGAACGGAGGCGGAACTGAGGAGCTTTTGCGTTTATATATGTCTGCTGTATGTATTTGTATGTCCGGGTGTGTCAGTGTCTGTGTCTTTTTTTGAATTCATGGATGCATATCTGGATGGGTAAATGCTCTGTGAATGTATGTGTCTGTCTATGCGTGTGTGTGTGTGTGTGTGTGTGTGTGTGTGTGTGTGTGTGGTGTGTGTGTGTGTGTGTGTGTGTGTGTGTGTGTGTGTTTGCGTTTGTGTTTGTGTTTGTGTGTCGAGAACAGGGTAGGTAGCAAAGATTTAGTGTGGAAACAAACGGAAGAACGCATGGATACCCGAACCAGTGGGAATAAGAAGTAGGGGAGAAAGTGTGAAGAAGTGAATGTAAAGAGAGAGGGGAAAGCAGGCGACAAAAAGAGATAGACAGATGTGGATGAAGCGAAAGTGGGGAAGAGACAAAAAGAGAGAAGGTTGAACGACGGAAGACATATGTGCGCTTTCGCTTCTGCTTGTCTATCTCTGGAAAGCTTAGCTTTTCGGGTGCAGCTTTTCTTGCTTTGTGCTTTTTGGGCGCTCTAACAACATTTAGTTTTGGAAAAAATCAGGCTTCCTATAATTTAGTAGTTCATAATCATTTTTATGCCTAGATTCTGTTTTCTTGATAGATCCTCTGTAGTTTCATTTTTGTGGATTGTCGTTTTTTTATTATGGTCAATTTGAACTGTTTCTTCACAATTTCTTATTTTCCTGTCAACCTTCTTCCTCATTAATTTCCTCTTTTTAGCTGTTTTTTGTTTTGCTTATGTTGTTATTTTCTCTTAAATATATTAATTTACTGACCTGGAGAAAGAAAAAAACAAAAAAGAAGATAAAATTTTTGTTTAAACTTCTTCCTATTTTCAAACTTCTTCTCCACGTTTTTTCAACATTTAAACTATTTTTTTGAAAACTTCTTGCATTTACTGCTGATTCTCTGATGTTGGTAATGATGATGGAAAGGAAGATGCGATTTGATTTTACAGTGCAACATAACTGTCAGTGTTTAACAGTTTACTGTATTTATGACGTAGGGTTCTGTAGTTCATATAGAAATAGTTTTCAGACTGTCTGTTTACGTTTTTCTCTTTGCTGACTATCAATGAGTTTC